GCGCCTCTGCCCCCAGCTGATGCAACCCACAGAGACAGCCACAGAGACAACTGTCAGCTCCACCACGGCTGGAGGAGCGATGGCGAGGACACTTGCCTGGCGCGCGGCCACCACCCGCCCGTCCTGCCTGAGGGGGACAAGCACCAGCCACGGCGCTGGGAAGCGACCGTGTCTCCTTTGGGGACAGGGACAAAGTGTGATCTGGGCCAGCTCTGCCACGGAGCCCGCGGCCAGCAGCGCCGGAGGCAGCCGTGAGACCACGTGGAAAACTGAAGCACAGTTTGGCAAGTGTCAGAGCTGAGCAAGTTCAGCGGGTGCTGCTTCCTGCTGGTGACACGTCTGACTGCTGAGCGCCCACGGGACTCCTCTAGTCACTTCCCAATTACACTTATCATAAACAATTCCTGTTCTACGCTGATCACTGTACTTTTTTTTTTCCTTTTTGGCTTCAGCATCAGGTTACTCGAGCTGTTCAGCCGAGATTAATGGTATCTACTGCTTATGATGGCTATTAGAGAAAAAACTCAGAAGTGTTTTAGAAAGTATTTCCACTCTCTTTCATTGAAATACTGCTACAACTCAGGAAACTGAGTAAAGTAAATCCTGTCTGACACGCAGAACTGAGCATCCCTGGGTATGCTCCCCATGGCCCCACACCCAGCAGAGCAAACTCACCTTTGGGGCCACTAACTGGGCACTTTCGGCCAGCGGCAACACCGTGTTACAGCTCTGCTGAGATTAAGATGCCTCCATAGCCCTGCCCCTAATCCTGGGGAGCAAGTCGGCTTCCTCATCAACTCGGTTTTCTAATTCCCTCCTGGGTGCAAGGATGGATTTGCTGCAGCACCCAGGGTGAGTTTGGGCTGGAGAAGAGCATCATCACTCCTGAGCGCGGCATCTCCCACCGGCTGGAGCCAGCCGGATCACTAACCAGCAGCACTGACCTCAAAGTAGGCCAGTTTCCCTGGGAAAATAGGTAAAGCCACGAGTGCCTGAAGCAACAGCTAACCTATTTTACCATCCGCCCAGCCATGCCGAGGGAATAAACGGGAGCAGATGAAGCCGGAGGAGGGCATCAGCACTGCAGGGGATGGGGCAGGCTTCAAACCGCGGGGCTCAGAGGATGCCTGCCAGGCCCTGGGGGGAGAGGGGAGGTCAGGAGGCACAGGGGCTCCTTGCTGAGCCAGGCTGGTGGCTGGCAGCAAAGCTGCTTTAGCAGGCGGCAGAGGAGATGCCACCCAGCAGGGCAGGTCTTGGCACCCTTGAGGGACACACCTGCAGCAGAACACCCGACTCAGACCTCACCAGGCGGCCTCACGAGGCGATCCCAGAGCAGCCATGTGCACGTGTCCCATGTGGGACTGGGACACCCAGCCCTGGCCACGTGTTGGTGCCCAAAGCCACACACCACGTAGTGAGAGGTGGGGAGCCATGGATGGACCCAGGTGCTTCAACCTTCTTTGGAGGTTTCAGCACTAAAAATAAGTCATTTTCTCCTGCAATGCCTTCCCAACACTGTCCTGACAGATGATCACAGCTGGAAAGGCCCCCCTCTCCCCACCCTGTCCCCACCCCCACACCACCCCCCAAACCAAGCACACCTGGGAGAGACCTTACCAATTTTTTAAGACAAGAGTTGTTATCAGAGCAGCTATGACCATGATGAGGGACACGGTAATAGTGATTATCTGATGAACAGCCAGACCTGTGGAGAAAAGAAACAGGAGAGAGTGGGGACAGGAGCTGGGGGGGTCCCCACAAAGCCCCCCACTCCTCAGCCAAGTGGATCCCCCTGGTCACCCCCCCCAAGCGGGACAGGCACAGCCCCTGGCAGCAGTGATGCAATCCCCTCTCCTGCCTTACATAAAATAATCTTTAAGCCAGGCTTCTAATTTCCTATCCTCTCAAGTATGTTCCTTGTCAGCCCGAATTAGGCACGAAGAACGGAAGAGAAGGGAAGACGCATCCCCTCCGGGACGGAAAGGGAAACTTGAGCACAGCCCTGCACTGGGTGCAGGATTAACCAGAGATAATAATTACTGCACTAACTGCTGCTCACTCAGAAGGTCGGGTGGGCTCATTTTCTCATAATTCACCTTACACAGGGTATAATTTTGGCTCGTGTATCATTCCTAATGAGCAGTTTGGAAACAAAAGCATCTCAATGTACAGTATGTTTGTGGGTTTGTGCTGCTTTACAGTTGCAATTTCGTAATGAAATGATTTTCCTGGCTGCTGCCCAAGGATGTGCTATTTTTCACAAACAGATGTTGCAGCTCCTGATGGATGAGATTTTTAATAAATAAGTGTTAGCATGACAGGAAAACAAGCACGTTTTATATATAAGTATCTATATATGTGCACCTGTGCAATATATGCATAGCATTCCTGGCTCACATGGGTGCTCATGGCAAGGAAATCACTTTCTTTTCCCACAAAAGAGCACATAGGTAGCCATGGCTTGGCTGGAGCCAGAACACCCACAGGGCTACCCTGGCTGCAGATGTGGGCAGGAGATGGACCCTCCATATGCCAGGCACATCCCTGCCTTGGAGGGTGGAATATCCTCCTGGGAGAGACAAGCTGGGGGCTGCGTGTCCCCGCTGCAGCCTGGAGCACTGCCCTCCCTGGGGACACTGTGCAGAGCATCCCCATGCTCCCACGGGAATGCTGCCCAGGGCTCTGCTGTGCTCCCACACAGCAGGTTTGTGGCCACGCTGTGGCTCCCCCGCTTTTGGCACAGCTCTCATGGCAGGGGTGTGTGAGACTCTGAGCAGCAGCCTGAGCACCAGGCTGGGCAATCAGGCCAGAGATTTGTCAGTGGCATTTTAAACCACAGATCACGCTTGCTGCTCCGCTGCTTTGTCTCAAAGGACAAAAGTTTTAACTCCCTTGAAATTTGCTGTCTCGCCTACCCCCGCTCATCTCTGTGCCCTGGAGGTTTCGGGTCCCTGCTCACACTGCCAACAACACTCATCAAGGGAGAAAAACTGCTCGAGTTCAGCCCCACAGCCGGGGTGAAGCTGCCACCTCCCAGGACACACAGGAGCTCGATGCCTCCCCAGCCCACACACCTCCAAAGAACCCCTAATCCCTCAGAATCACAACAAATAATGCTCCTGGTAGAAAAGCCATGCAAGGCTGCCAAGACCCATAGGGATGCACAATGGGAGATGGAGCCATGGTTAAAATGGGCACACAAAGAAATCTACTTGCCTTTCAAAGGCCACCTCAATCCTTGCACCACCAACTTGCCCTTGCTGGCACTGATCCCTGCACGGGATGCAGAGACCCGTGAACCCCCCGACTCTGAGCAGTGAGGGCAGCCAGCACGGGCACCTTCTTAGGAAGTGCTGCAGACTTTGCTGCCAGGATGCATCCTGGGCGTAAATCAAATGCTCAGAAATGGGATTCTTGACAGTTTAATATAATAAAACCAAGGTCACCTTTGGTGAGTGATTCACCGAAACACGTCCAGAGCCAAGCGCCATCGCTCCGCTCCCAGCGCCAGACACCGGGGCTGCTGGTGGGAGCTGCTCAGAAAGGGCTGGTGTGAGAGGCAGAGGAGCAGTGGCCTGGCATTGGCCCTGGCAACCTCAAAGCTCCAGCAGATGGTGGAGCAGAAGCCCTCACCTCCAAAATACAAGCAGCAGAGTTTCTGGAAGGAAGCCCAACCCCCAGCATCTTCCAGAACTTATTCTGCTTTGCCGGCAGATACGTTACAGGGGAGATCTGGGAGAAGACCTGGAGAAAGGAGCAGGGATCCCAACCAGTTCATCCCACCCAGACAGGACATGGTCTGGAGTAGGAGGTGGTGGCAGATGTCAGCATGCTATGGATGCTGCCAGTGAAAGGGTTTTCTAGAGGCAGAACCAAGGAGAAGCGACTTCTCAAAGGCCAAAGCTTCCAAAATGCTGGCTCCTTGGATCATGGCACGATCCCAGTGCCAAGCTGGCAGAAGCCAAGAGCCCACCAAAACACAGGAGGTGCAGGATGCTGCAGAAGCCACGTACTCTGGGGGTTCTCCTCTGCTCCCCACTGCTGTGAGCCACATGCTCCTTCCCCAGGGAGCCATCGGATGGACAGACAGACTGGAGAAGCCCAGCACAGGAGGATGGGCTGTGGGATGGGAAGCATCAGGTTATTTTTTCTCCCTCAACTCAAGCACCTATTTTGCAAATGACCCATTTCCTCCATTTACTCCCGATTACACTTCAATTGGTTCAAACACTGTGACAAAGCTCCTCTGGAGGAGAATGGCTGTGGAGCAGCTCAGGGGAAGCAAGAGCTGGGGACAGTGGTGGTGGAGGATGGGGAGGACCCAGCTCCCACCGGCTTCCCTGGAGGATGGTCATGACAGGAGCCATGTCCCAGCAGACCCGAGGGGTGGAGCAGGCAGCTCCCAGCCTCCAGCTCACACCCGCCTGCTGGTTGGTGCTCCAGGCACCTGCCGGGTCACAGCGACGCCCACCCCGGCCACATCCTTGGCAGCAACCTTGGAGCAGCTCCCAGTGGGACGCTGCTGAAAGAGAGAAAAGGAAAGACTCTAAAAATAAAATAAAATAAACCAAAACCAGCCCGGTGCCCGACTCCCGTGAACACAGAAGCAGCATCAGAAATGAGACCTTCTGCAAAGCTGGGAGCCAAGGCAGAGGTGCAGGGAGATGGGAGAACCTAATGATGCAATTAATCCTTGTGCTTACGTAAGGGGCAAGGCACAGGCAGAACAGATTGCAGGTGCCTGAGCACTGGGAAGGATGGCAGCTCTCGGGAGCAGGACACATGGATGTTAAGAAGGGCTGGATAATTTTAGACTCTATCACATACATAAGTTGCCATATGTACCAGCACAGAATAAAGTTCCTTTTCACATATTAATTCTGCACTGGAGCCTGAGGGAATTTCAAGGGGAATGGAAATGTTTTTCCCAACAGTGTTAACCATGGCAGTGATGGAGAGAGGGAAAGGGACCTGATGGATAACTGGGATGGTTCCCTGAGAAGCCCTGTAGCAACATCTATTGCAATACAGACTAAGTCGTCTTCATTCTTACTCTACAAATAGATCAAATCCTTCCCTCTAGGCCTTCAAAGAAAGATATAGAACCATACAGAGCAAAATCGAACAGAAAGATCCAATTGCAAGAGAAGGATTTAAAGGATGGGGCACCCTGGGAGAAAGGAACATCCCGTAAGGGACAGACAGCACCCAGGGGGAGAGGTGAGATGAAAGTGAGATGGCTGCAAAGAGCAAAGCATTATTTTAAACACAGCCCTAGGAGCCCAATCTGTCTGGAGGAAAGGGACCTGGAGGATAAAATCAATAGCTCATAAAGCAAAATTACTCTCCTCCTCCAGTGTGAAGAAGCCTTTGGCCGAGTACGTAACTCTCAGTAAGAGCCAGAGCCCCCAAAACATGGGGCAGGGAAGAACCCAGAAGCAGAAAGGACAGTGGCTCAGTTTTGTTCCCTCATGTCCTTGGTTTTGTTCCCTCATCTCCTTACCAAACACTTCCAATGGCAAAGTCCTGATCCCAGGGAGTTACAGAACCCGGCCATCACATAAACACACCTGGATAACCAGCCAAGAAACAAAGTGCAGGAAGGGCAGGGGTGGGTGTGTGGGATCAGAGAGGGATGCCTGGAGCTGCAGCCCCACCCCAGCAGCTGGGAATTCCTGGTCCCTGCCAGCAGCTCCCTCCTACAAGGCTTTTACCAAGCAATTTGATGCAGTGACCATTTAACTGGAGGGTAATTACAGGAGAAGTATTTAATGGAATCGAAAGTGTGTCCAAACCCCTGTGCTTCTGCTAGTGCAGCAGAATTTAATGTGTTGCCTGCCAGGAGGGAAAGCTCTTCAAAGGTGCTCTCTGGACCTTTGGAAATGCTGGAATATTGCTGGGTTTTTCCACTCTGCTCTCACCAGGACCTCCCATCCCCTCCAGGGTTGGTGACCAGCCTCAGCATCCCTATGGGCAACGCAACTCCAAATTCCTCACATCCTGAGAAAAACCCAACCTTCTCAAAGCAAGCAAATGCTAGGGCTTTTTTTAATACGTTATTCTAAAGACCAGATATTTGCCACCAAGATGAAAGTGCTGAGTTTTGGCCTTTCTGGTCACCTTTTGAAACGGCTCCCGGACAGCCCTGCATCAACAGAATTAACTCCATGAGAAAATCCATTCAAGACTAATGTCTTGCTATTGCAGAAGTGTGCAATGGCAGCAAACAGGAGATATAAGCTCTTAATTAAAAACAAAGAGAACCTCTATCCCCCAAGGCCTTTATTTCAACAGCTCTTCTTAGGGAGACAGTATTTCTCATTTTCCCAATAAAAACAGCTATGAGCTGCAACTCTTTGAAGACCCTCGTCAAGGCCTCTGAGCTGCATAAAATTAAAAAAGGGAAAACCAGCTTCATTTCATTTAGCAGAGCATCATTTTGAGTTACCATCAGGAAAACAACAGATGCTCCAAATACCTGCTGTGCCCTGGCTGGGACGAACACAAGGAAGCATCTCAGCCCATTCCTGCACATGTGCTGTGCAGATTCCGTCCCTGCTCCTTTCTCCCCTCTCTGCCTCAGACTTCCCAGTTTGAGTTGAAATGCCAGAAAAGGGCAAATCTCCTAAATAACCCTTGGCAGGTCTGCCAGGAGCAGGCAAGGCCCATCTAGTGTCCAGGGCTGAGCTGGACAGGCAAGTCCTTGCTGGCAGCAGGATCTTCACAGGCAGGGTCAGGCCCCAACACCTCTCCTCACACTCCTCAACCACAGCATCATGTCTGGCCACAGAGAGAGTATCCCAACAGGTTCCCAGTAGGAGTGTGGGAAAGACACTGGCTGCTGGGAGCAGCTGAAGAGCTTATGGAGAGGGAAATGATGAAAGCACAGATGGAATGGCAACCATAGTAACCTTCTCAGCAATCTCCACAATGAGCATCACAGCCCATGAAGAAGCCAACCACCATCACCATCACCCCTGCCCTGCCCCATGCTCAGCTCCATAAGGAATGTGAACCCAGCTGCCTGCTCCAAGCATGATCCCCAGCTGCCTCTGGATGCAGGGACACCAGTGCTGGTGGCTGCCCAAGAAGAGATCTCTCTGAAGTGGAGTCTTCTCTCAGGGCTCAGAATCCTATCCTCATCCCTGCCACCAGTGTCCTTCTTTTGTTCTTCCCAGCCCCAGGCACTGGGACACTTTGCTCTCCTCCCAAGCATCACAGAGAGGCTGGGGAAAACTGGCTGGAGTCGAGAGGCACTGCAGCTTCCCCAGCATCAGAAACCTCATCTGATCCTCGATAAAACAGCTTTCGGACAGAAAAACCCAGTCAGGAGCACTGCTCTGCAGCAACCCCAGCCACAAAGGGCTTTCCCAGGGGGCATCAGTCAGGCTTTGCTGCAACACAAACCCTACTGCCATTTAATGGCTTGTAAGAAAAATAATGTAGAAAAAAGCACGAGGGTTAGACACAGGAGAGGAGATATGGCACAAGTCTTCTCAGAAAAACTTGTTCCAGTGCAAAGTTGGTTCATCCACTGCCCAACCTGCTGTGCTGGGAAAGTGCATCAGGGCCACTCCTGAACACCCTCCTGCCTTCAGAGCTGGAGCAGGCAAAGCCCCCTGGTTTGCCACCCAGTAAATCAGAGCCATCAGCTCCAACACCCAGCCCAGTGACCATCACTCATCCTGAAGCGAAAACGCAGCTCTTCAGCAAGAAAATCCACCAAGGGTCCTGGAAACCTCCTGGTATTTTGGGTTGGACTGATGAAAGGAGCAGAATATCCTGCTGATGTGAAATATTCTTGCCAAGAATGAAAATCCTAAAGGCTTATGCTAAAGACACTGGGACTTATCTTCTCAGGTGTCACAGCAAATATCATTGAGCAAAAAACATCTCTGAAAGCAGCAGAGTTTCTGGCTCATTTAGACACACGTGGGTGAAAACACACACGTCTGACATCTGCTAATCCTAGGGAGGGAGAGAGTCCTTCTCCCTTGGCAGGGAGAGCTCAGCTCATGGCCAGGCTCAGTTCTTCCTTCAGCCACCACCCTACATTCCTAAGGAAAACCAGCCTCTCGGGCAGCTGATGCCTTACAAAGAATCCTTCGGAGAGGTCCCAGGAAAGGTGACCATAAAATAGGGCCCAGGAGATGCCATCTGGCCCCTCACCTCCTCCTGGGCCCCAGCTGCAACAGCTTCATGTGCCTTTGCACGCTGAATCAAAGAGGCAGCTCCATCCCCACTGCCCTGGGTTTTCTTTTAAACACATTTTAATTAATTCCTTTGAAGCCTCTTGCATCTGCTATCTCCTTGCACCCAGCACCCCCTCTCCTGCACCCTCTTTGGGAAGGCAGGGCCACATCCCTGCAGGGAAGAGAATGGCTCTATGATTATTATTTATTCCCGATACACTCCTGGAGAGTGGGTGCCCACAGTGGGTGCCCATGGCAGCACCCAGCCAGCCCCAGACTGCAGCCAGGAGCAGCCCCAGCCCCGGGGCTGCCCCTCCACACCAGCTCCCTGCCCAGCACGCAGCTCACAGAACAGGCTGCCAAACTCCTTGTGCACCGGCCACCAAATCACCGTTAAGAGCAGCAGACGGCACATAAAGTCTTCTGCCTTATAAAGCACTTAAAGGTTTAATTAAAGACAGCTTTATTCTAATACTGCTGAAAGGAGAGCCTCAGACAACCCGGCGTGTGCAATTCATGCCTTTGCTCTGACTGTCTCTTGCTTCATTCTTCTCTTTTCTGCCTTTTTTCAGCAGAGCCCACAGGCCCGGGGGGTGCTCTGCCCCCCTGGGGAGCAGCCCCCCAACCTGCCCTGGCCTCTTGCCTCACGCTGACGTTTCCATTGCTCTTCTCTCTCTGTGCTCTGCTGCAAACTGCTTATGACCACCCTCAAAAAAGGGAGCCTGTTCTTGAAAAGCACAAGCACAACCTCCACCTGGGTGAGCAGGTTGTGCCCCCGCCCACCAGCAGCTCTGCCACACACCAGCACAAACCCACCCCGAGGACCCTCTCTGCCCCCCGTGCCACCAGACACCCAGCAGCAAGTCCCTTTCCAGCAATGCACAGAGGGGAGCAAGGGCACGGGAAGTGGGAAGCAGCACGAATCCAGTGGGAAGGAGGGACACAGGGAAGGAGAGACATAGGGAGGGGGAAGCAGCACCAGTCTGATGGGAAGGAGAGTGCCTCTGGTGCGTGGGGAGAGTGGATCCCTGCAGCTGCAGAAGCCCTGGGGTGGCTCCTGGGATAGACCCAGCACCTTTGGGTGCTGCAAGCAGGACCACCCCGACCCCCCAGGCTGCTGCCAGGGAAAACTGAGGGACCATAGGCTGCAAGAGCAGCATCCCTGCTTCCCTCCCCACTACCCACCATCGCGCCCTGCACCTCCCAGGATGGGGATTTCCAGTGCTCCCTGTGGCAAACAAGAAGTACAGACGAGTTACCTAATCCTAATTTGTAGCCATATGTTTTTCCCAGCAGAGTACAAACACTTCCAGCCGCCAAAGCTTATATAACAGAGGAGCAGGGCTTGGAAAAATCGAGGCTCAGCCCTTGCTGCCAGCAACCAGAACAGGGCTGGTTCCCTGAGACCAGTCTGAACGCCCATCCCGAGGCACAGCAGGGGCTCTGCACTCCCCACCAGGACCCTCCTGGGGCTCCCCCGGGTGCTCAGCCCTGGCACTGGAAGGAAAAGCAGATCTGGAGCTCAGGCGTTTTTCAATTTAGGGTGGACGGGCTGAGCATCAGAAAAGTCCTTTAGCCCCGGGAAGGACTTTATCATATTCACCACTTGGCAAAAAGCAGTCAATTAGCAAAAACTCTGATCCTGGAAGAAACCCCTAATGGGAGCTGAGAGCTGGCAGATTGAAGCAGCGGGTCCCTCGGGAGGCTGCTGGGGATGCTGGGGCTTGGCTGATGTGCTGGTCAGGGAGGGCAGTGGTGGCACCCACGGCCTGCTCACCCTCACCGGCACCACGCACCTATAGCACGTGCCCAGGGCCACCAACAGAGCAGGGGCCACCAACAGAGCAGGGGCCACCAACAGAGCAGGGGCCACCAACAGAGCAGGGGCCACCAACAGAGCAGGGGCCACCAACAGAGCAGGGGCCACCAACAGAGCAGGGGCACCCGGGGAGGTCAGGCCGGAGATGCCGCCGCGCAGGGAGCGCTGCCGCTGGGCCGCGTCACTGGAACTCCCTCGCTAATTCATCCTGGGGTTCTTCACTAAGCGTGTAGGTTGGGAGCTTTTTTTCACCACTAAAAATAACTCCTCTAAGTCAGGAACAACATTGTGGTCGGCTTGTCTGTTTCTGCCAAGCAGGACAGGCGAGATGGATTAATTGGAATTAAGATTAGGCCATAAAGTTCTTTTTGATGCAACCAGAACATCACTGAGGGCTAAAAGCAGTCAGTGCACAGTGAATAAATTCACTAAACTACACAATGCCATCCCACGGATTCACACTGGCAATAACAAATATGATTTGAAGCAAAGGGGAAGCAGCTTCCCCAGCCCCGTCCCCGCGGGGAGCACC